ACCATGTAGGAGTGCCAATTTGTTGTAAGAGGCTGTTTGTGCATTTCCTGGCTGCCCAGACTTCTAAAATAATCACACGGAAACTATATTATTTAAATCACTGCTTGGCAAAGCACTTAAGTGTATTGTTAGCTAGCTCTTACATCTAGTATTAACTCGTTTCTAGTATTTTATATTTTACCATGACAGCATGGCCTAACAGCAAGGTTCTAATATGTCTGGCTCTGGCGGAAGTTCCATGGCTTCTCTCTCAACTCTACCCTCTTTCTCCCAACATTCAATTTAGTTTTCCCCACCTATCTCTGTTCTGCCTTGCTCTGCTATAAGCTCAAAGCAGTTTCTATATTAGCCAATGGTTTTCATGGCATACAGAGGGGAATCCCACATCATGTAATGGCTTCCCCTCTTTGTGACTACAAAGTCAAATCAAGCATGCCCAGGAAATAAAAGATGGACAAGAAAAGTACAGGAGTTATGTCCAGAGTTATAAACATTTCTAACAGTGAGCGCATGAGGGTTTTGTTGGGAACGTCAACACATATTCATTCAAAAAATCACATTAAAGGGAAAGAGCATTTTTGAGCATGCTCAGTAAGTAAGTATATTCTTGACCATGCTCATTTGTAATTAAGAAAGATAGCGTGGACATCAAGGTCATGGAACATATGTTCAAAAGCTTAAAACGACAGACAGTAACAGTTATGGGCCTGATCAACTTGCACCAATAAGCATGGTGAGCTGGGAGGGTATGCTTGGCTTTCATCGTAAACTTTTAGCTGACACAAAGGCCCCTGTGACGGTGCGTTAAAATGGAGTTCCTCTAAGGGTACCTGCCATACATAATGGCTGACACTAAACTTTTAGTTTTCTTTGCTTCTCAGTGACACCCATAGGCCTTCACTCTTCTAGTAAATAACATGCCTATACAACAAGAATCACAGGAAAATCTCTGCCAGATTAGATGTCGAAGCTTCTTGACCTCTTCCTTGCTCACCCAGCCTTACTGTAGCCTGGGCTAAAGTAAGCCAACATCAATCCAGTCCAATTTCCTAGGACTTTCAAAATACTTCCTATAGTTTAGCATCATTGTGGCAGTTTGAATGTAATTGTCCCCCATAATCTCATAGGGAGTGACACCATTAGGAGGTGTGGCTTTGTTGGAGTGGGTATGGCCTTGTTGGAGGAAGTGTGTCACTGTGGGGGGCAGGCTTTGAGGCTCACGATACCACCCAGTGTGTCAGTTCACTTCCTGTTGCCTGTAAGATGTAGCACTTTCAACTCAAGCACCGCATGTGCCTACACAGAGCCATGCTCCCTGTCATGGTGATAATGGACTGATTCTGAAACTGTAAGCGAGCCACAGCAATTAAACGCTTTCCTTTGTAAGAGTTGCCTTGGTCATGGTGTCTCTTCACCATAGAAACCCTAAGGATAACCGAGTTACATCACCACCCTACAGATCTTAATTAATGCAAATACTATGAAAACCCAGAGCATAAATAGGGTGAACTCATCATATATACTGCATTGCCAGAGTTGGCCCTAACTAGGAAGAAATGCACTTTGGAACAGGCATCATTGAAACCCAGTCCTTTACTTTGATGAGTGGAAGAATTTCCCACAGACTAGCCTCTGGCTTTATGTGTTTCCAGCCCTGTGTTTCCTCTGCTCCCCACATAGTCCCAATGCTGGTACAAATTGCCCATGCTTTCTCTGGCTCTACACATTTTTGTCTTGACATCAGGCACATCAACCCTGTGGGCTCGGGAAAATTCCTGGAAGTCATCCCTCAGCATGGTGGCTATTCATAACTCAACCATATGTGAAATTGCCTGACAGAAACCACATAAATATACCCCATTTAACCCAAACTAAATGCATTCCCTACACAAATGTCATTAAGCCAAGTACAAAGCTACTCAGGGCCACTCCCAATGCGAACACAAGGGAAACAGAAACAGAAAGGAGGCCAAGATGAAAAGAGTCACTCCTTTTAACTTGTCAAATATCGTGCTATTGCGAATTTCATGAACGCATGACCATTTGAAGACATTCACACACACACACACACACACACACACACACAGAGAGAGAGAGAGAGAGAGAGAGAGAGAGAGAGAGAGAGACCATGGATAAGAAGCAGCCCAAGTCTCAGATCCTGTAGAGTAACTGCCATTAGCCTCATGCCATTTCCCTGGCTCATCACCATTTTACAGAGCACAGAAAACGTGCTTGAAAGGACTCAGCTCTTAAGAGAACTGGTTGCTTTTCCAGAGGACCCTGGTTGGATTCCCAGCAGTCATGTGACACCTGTAGCTCCAGTTCCCTCTTCTGGCCTCCATGGATGTAGGGGGAAAAAAAGAAAGGAAGAAAAGAAAGGAGGGAGGGAGGGAGACAGGAAGGAAGGAAGGAAAGACTTATAAACACAAAATAAAAATAAATAAATAGGCGATGGATGGAGATAGAGACAGAGACCCACATTGGAACACTGGACTTAACTCCCTAGGTCCAAACGAGAAGCAGAAGGAAAGAGAACGTAAGCAAAGAAGGCAAGATCAGAGGGAACCTTCATCTGACGATGGATGGCGATACAGACGGAGACCCACATTGGAGCACCGGACTGAGCCCCCCAAGGTCCAAATGAGGAGCAGAAGGAGGAAGAACATGAAAAAGGAAATCAGGACCGCGAGGGGTGCGATCACCCACTGATATAAGGGGACTGATCTAATGAGAGTTCACCAAGGTCAGTTGGACTGGGACTAAACGAGCACGTGATCCAACCAGATTCTCTGAATGTGGCTGGCCCGGAATCTTTCTGAAAAGTCATTGACAATGACACTGGGACTTGTTTCCTCTGCATATACTGGATTTTGGGGATCCAGTCTGTCTGGATACTCACCTTCCTGGACCTGGAGGGAGGGGGGAGGAACTTGAACTTCCCACAGGGCAGGAAACCCTGACTGCTCTTAGGGATGGAGAGGGAGGAGGAGAGGGAGTGGGGGGAGTGGGAGGGTGTTGGGAGGAGGGGCGGAAATGGAAACTTTTATAATTTAATAAACTTTGAAAGAAAATAAATAAATAAATAAATAAATAAATAAATAAATAGTGTGAGAAAACCCCTAAGAGATTAAGCTTAAACCTCTAATGCATAGTTCGGTGAATGGAGAACCCAGGAACTGTTACAGAGAAAAAGGAGCTAGCTACTTTTGTCTTGAGGATTGTATCTTTCTGGGAGAAGTTGAAACATCCCCTGAACTTCATGCATTACAATTTGGGTCTTAAATACCTTGGAAAGCTCATTTATTGGAAACTTGATTCCCAAGTTGATCCTCCCCTTGGAAAGCAGTGAAAACCTTGGGAGGCAGAGCTGAGCGAGGAAGTAAGGTGCATCTCTGGGGGTGTGCCTTTAAAGGGGCAGACTATCAGTACTCAAGCCCCTTCCTCACTCTCTGGGACGCCTTCCCACCAAGAAGTTAGCGCCTTTCATCTACCACATTCTCCCCAACATGATTCTACCTTATCATAGTAACATGTCCAAGAAACTGTGGGCTGAAACCCCGGGAACCAAGGACCAAAATGGGCTTGATCTCTTTACATGGACCTAGCGCCATTGCTTTGAGGCACTGGCAGAAACCTGACTGACAGAGAAAACCTGGTACCAATAAGTGAGGTCAGCCGGAATCAATGGGATGAACTAGGGAAGTTTTGGAGGAACTAGAGGAAGCCCCGACTGCTGGGAGGGCTATTTAACAGGCAGGTGAGGTGGGATCTCAAGCCCAGAACGCAGACAGGAACGCAGGCAGAGACTGGCTGACACGGTTTCAACTAGAAACAAGGTCGTTGGGGGCCGAGCCAATAGTTTCAAGCAGTGGTTCTAACCTTCCTAATGCTGTGACCCTTTAACATAGTTCCTCATGTGGTGACCTTCAACCATAAAATTATTTTTGTTGCTACCTCAAAATCACAGTTTTTCTACGGTTATGAATCATACCCTAAATATATAATATGAGACTCCCCCCACCCACCCCGTGAAAGGATCAGATTGTGACCACAGGTTGAGATCAGCTGACTTATAGGGAGACTGACAGCTCATGCATGGTCTTAGAGTTTCCATGGGTGCTTGGCTCCCTGCAACTGCACAGAACACAGAGGTGGTAAAAGGGTGTGGTAGAGGAATTCTTCACTTCATAGGGGACAGGAAGCAAAGCAAGGGACAGGAAGGGCCAGAGACAAGATTCCCAGGATCTGCAGAAGCGTTTAGCCTTCTCCAGGAGAGTCTACCTCATGAAGTTTTCAGTAACTCGCTGGAGACCAAACTGGTAACGCATGGGCCCGTGGGAAATAGCTGATAATTAGATCATACTAGTTTTAAAGTTGTAGCCCAGGAATGTTTGCCTGCTTAAGAAATTAGCGGCATTTGACAACAGTTATAAAAGCCAGCATGCTCAGGCTAGTGGCACTGATCAAAACAGGACATGAAAATGGAAAGACATGAGGAATGGGGGGGAGGGGTCTGGGAGGGTAGGAGGGGGTTAGGAGGGGCTAACGGGGATGAATATAACCAATATACATTTTGTACATGAGTGCCAAACACAAAGGAGATTTTTTTCTTTGCAGCATAATGTTAGAAAAGATGCCCCAGGGCATTTCGGGAATCAGCAAGACCCACCCAGGTTCTCAGGTTTAAGGTTTTGCTGAAAAGAGAGCCCTGTGGTATACCGTTCTCACTCTGAGCCACCCAGCAAATTATTTCCCTGTTTTTTTTTTCCCCATGTTTAGCTGTCTGGGCACTTGGAGGGTGCTGTAGTCAGCTCCAAGTAGAGCCGGCTACTGCTGAAATCCGCCCCAGAAATTGCATTGCCCCATTTGATTCTGGTTTCGCCTGGATGCAGAACGCATGAGTCATGGGTTCACAGAGGTTTCCAATGAAGTTTTGAAAGAGACTCTGGGCGCTTCGGCGGCCCGTGGCAGAACCAGAGTCTCC